GCAGCGTGTAGAACTCCACCACAAGTCAGAAGCATTCACACAAACCCGTCTTTCTCTAGTAACACAAGAGGGCTTTCACTGCTTTTTTGGCTTTCCACGAATGTGGACGGTGCTGTCTTAACACCTGCACAGAAATAGGCTTATCATTCAGTCGCCGAATTTCATTGGCAAGTACTTGTCTCTCTGACGCAAACTTGGGACAGTAGCACAGAAGGTGTTTGACAATTTCATCGGTGATTGATGGATATGGGGGGTTTAACGTCCGTGAACGACCATATGATTATGAGAAACGCCGTAGAGAAAGCTAGGGAAATTTTGACCACCTGGGGTTCTTTAACGTGCGCCCAAACCTGAGCACGCGGGCGTACACCATTTTCGTTTCGATCAAAAATGCAGCCGCCAAAGCAGGGATTCGATCCCGCGACCTGCAAGTCAGCAGCTGAGTACCTTAGCCACTATACCACCGCGGCGAGGCTTTCACTGGTGAAGCAAACATCGCATGCTGCACTGTAAGTCATTCCGATTAACGTGGTATAAGCTTTCGTGAAACAACTTCCAGCCAAAGACGATAGAAAAGCGAAGTTTCACGTCAGTGTAGGCCAGGCGGAGGCCGGAGCTGTAGTGAAGAATCAAGTTCATGTTGTCTTGTACGTCGTAAGCTTGGTGTGTTCCACTCAGTCAGTGTGAGACTGCGGGCCAATTTACAAATCTACTTCGCCACGTCCGCTGTTGAAAATGAATTGTAACACTGTTTTATTTGTCGTGTGACGTGCTAGCACCTTGATCTGCAGAATCATTATTGCCTATACCACAACGCCCACGTGACCATTGAAAGACGACGTGATGGCCTTTTGGTATTATGAGGTGCTGAAGTTTCATGGTTTGGTGGGTCAATTGGTTGTGCCATCCGCGTCGGAGAACTGGCCGCAGGCACTGCAATGATGGTCTTGAGTCAGAAAACATGGCTCGTTGACTTGATCCCTCTTCACCAATTATGACGACAAATGTTGCCGCGTGAACTTATTTCGGCTTACCGAAGAGTTCACTCGCAGTGGTGTAGAACTTGTAGTTGTTTTTCCAAAATTTCCCCGCTACCTAAGATCTTGCGTCGTATCCAGGAACTTCGTTGCTAGGAGCAAGGATGTAACAGTTCCTGCAGCCATGGCAAGGCTGCGCGAGTGCTTGAGTCCATCGAAGGCTTATAGCTAGGCCGACAGTGTTGGGCCAGCTGCGTCGGGACTTCTCACACTATATGAGACTCTGTACAAGCCAGTGCGCAGAAAACAGGGTGCGCTGATGGCTGACATCAAAATATTGTAAAGTTGAACAGCGCGAAAAAATACACAGTGGACAGAAAAAGGATGGGCCGAGCGCCGACTTCTAAGTAAATTTATATTTACAAGAACGCTGTTGATAACTCGAGTTATTAAAACACTTAAGATTGACAAATTTAAAAATAAAAAGTGTCATCGAAAATCACTGAGCCTGCCACACCTACCCTCGTACCACAGAAACCATGGCTCTCTTACTAACAGAGCAACTGATGGCTTGCTTAAGCATGCGCTCTTTTCAAGCGCCATCTGAGCAGCCTCAAAGATTATACGCTCGTGTTCTTTTTTAATCTTACTGAGAACTTAATCTCATCGATCGGCGGAGTTCACCACACGTTCTCATGTGTTGCACTAGGAAGCCATCTTTGCCATTTCGGATTTGCCAATTATTTCAAAGTGTGGCAGTTTGGTCTAGTTGGTCTGATGTGACGATTTTTATAGTGCGAGAACAGAACGACGACAAAGGGACAAAAAGGAGACGACAAGAAGGAGCGCTCGTCTCTTTCTTCTCCGTTTGTCGGCGTTCTGTTCTGGTGCAATAACTCTGGTAACGCCATTGATGTTCATAATGGCAAAGATAAAAAGACAACTTTTGTCAGTAAGATTAAAGAAGAGCACGAGCCTATAGTCAATGAGGCCACTCAGATGGCTCTAAAGGAGTGCTTTCGTAAGGAAGCCATCAGTTGCTCTGTTGAAAAGAGAGATAATGTTTTGGGGGTTGGGGTTCGGCGTATCTGGCTCACTGATTGTTGATAATATTTCGTTTCTTTACTTCTGTCATTTTTTTTAGTTTTTTTGTTCACTCGGGTATATCAACAACCTTCTTGTCAATAAAATTTTAGTTTTTAGTCAGCGCTTGTTCTGTCCTTTTTGTGTCCACCATGTATTTTTTCACGCTGTTAAACCTCAAATATGCTAAACCAACTACCCAGTTAGCAACTTTCTTAAGAAAAAAACGTTTATTGCATCAGTATGTGGCCAGCCGAGGAGGGAAAATGACGCCAGTGGCGCTAACAATGTCGGTGGCTCATGCAGCAACGCCATAGGCCGCACTATGCTGTTGGGCTAGTTGGTGTATAACGCTGTAAAACACTGTTGGCGCAAACTTGAAAGACGAGACACAAAAAAGCGCGCACTCGCGACTGACTATATTTATTTATTTATTTATTTATTCAAGATATCTTACAGGCCCACTGAAGGGCATTGAGTAAGGGGGCACCAGTATACAAACAAAATATCAATAAAGAAGAAAAGCAGACGAAAATATATATATAAAAAAGATTTCACAAGTCAAGGTACAACAGCATTATACAATATTAGAGTGCAAAGAAATCAGGTTATCACGAAAAGTTTCACGGTTAGAAATGGTTACAACATGATCCGAAAGATCGTTCCAATATGCAATGGCTCGAGGTAGTGATGATAAGTTAAATGCCTGCGTGGGACCATAAAAGCGCATGAAGCTACGTGCATTGTGAATGCCCCGGGGAGTGCGCGCAGGAGAATAAAGTGGCAAACAGTGAATTCCGTTACTATAAATGTACCTATGAAAGAGACATAAAAGGGCAGTGTTCCGGCGTATTTCCTGTGACTGATATGCAAGGTCTTGTTTTATTCGGGTAATGCTTGAATGATAGTCGTAGTTTCCAGAGATGAATCTCGCTGCCCTATTCTGGATGGCTTCCAACATACGTACCAGGTAACCTTGATATGGTGACCATGTGACAATGAACCGAAACTTATCTTTTGAAACCCTCAGGCATGCGTGCAACCACATAAAAAACCCAAACAACTATTGTCACAACTTATCAGATTAAAAATAGTTATCAAAAAATGGCAGGGATGGGACACTGATACATTGTGCCCCGAATTGCCTAATGCCACCTTGTCTGCTTCTTCGCTATATTTTCGTGCTGTTCAGTAATGATTCACACGAGCAATCTTTACAGTGATACGGCAAACGCGAAACCGTGCCACTTCTCACTGATAGCGCATCCTTTCATAGGCGCTCAGTTACATATCAGCCCGACTGGCCAATGTACATCTTGCTATAACAAAGCAGGATCATTAATACAACGTCTACCGAAGAATTCAAAAACTTTTTAGCGCTTTTTTACACAATCAGGACTTCGTGCACGACACCAGAAAGCACAAATACGCGAAAGCCTTTGAGGTGCTGAGAACACAACAGGGACCCTAAAACGATAGGCCACGCTCTCCAACATATGAGCCACTCTGTGTACTTAGGGAATGACAAGAAGACGCTTCATCTGTGTTACTTTCCTTTACGCCTGAATCGCTGGTGGCGTCAAGTCAAAATTTTATCACTAAAGCTTTACATACTGGCGTTAACATCAATATAGCACAGAAGGTCATGCAAGGTTTTGCCCGCATCGTTAATATTGGCATGCACAGTAAATAGCATAAATCGCCAATGTATATTTCCTAAAATTAGTTAATATAGCTGAAATATTGGTTTGGGTGAGTTGCTACGACATTATTCACATAAAAGCAGTGCCGTAAATGAAGCACACACAAAAAAGAGTGAGACGGATAGTGGCACTGTTTTTGGCCGTTTTCGGCGCTGCTTTTCTGCGAACATTATAGAGAGATCACGCGATTCCCGTCGGTTTCTAATAGTACGTAAATATGTTCGTAATTTATACTGCAAGCATTTCAAAGTTTTAAGTTGCTAAACTCAGCACCTCTCTGAAGTATTGTAATGGCAACGTTCCAAGATGTCAGCACATCGGTGGCTATCGTTCTATCGGCCCAGCTTCCCATCTATAGTCTCTGGTGTCAACGCTGTGTTTTTACATTCTTCCCTCTTTTTTGTTATCTTATCACCTTCGTAGCGCTTCTTCTCACTCCAGCTTATGTTTTCCACACACCTGGTATACTATAGGACGTATCGCACCAACGCCGACTAAATTTCAAGGCCGCAGGGCTGCTGCAGTGACGTCAGAGGGTGGGGGCCCAGTTACGCCGCGAATACGGCGGAAAGCCAGAGTTTCGTACACGTTTTAGGAGAACCAACGCTCCCATTGTCGTAGCTGCTGCGGCTGGATTGGGCCGAATAAAAAATGTGGGAAAAAATCTTACTGAGCATGCCCAGTAAGATTTCTTCACCACATATTTATTCACCCAACGTGGAGGAAACACTGGCTTTCCCCCGCATTCGCGGCGTAACTGGGCCCCCACCCTCAGACGTCACTGCGGCAGCACTGCGGCCTTGAAATTTAGTCGGTGTTGATCGCACTGTCATGCGAGGAGCTGTTTTACTTTCTCCAATGCTTTATTATTTTTCCTCAGCCCCACTTACATTTTTGTTCTAGATTACTCTGCATGGCCATACTGCGCTCCGTGATGCTTGGCTCTTGCACGTTTTTTATGGCTAGTGATGCGAGACGGTGCAATAAGAAGCTGCAATATTGAAAGAAACCAGCGGTGTCTCGATGACTGCCGTTCTGCGGCGGACACTGCATGGTGGCTTTCGAGCGGTGGCATCTCATTACGTGCGCCATGCCAAAAAAAGAGTATGTGTATTTGTTTCCGGCACACATTCTTGAAACAGTTGTATTAACGGGACGCTCTTCTTCTAGCAGCTAACACCTCAGCCAATTAATCAATGAATCACAAAGTGAGCAAACAGCAAAAAATGACGCTTACCTCTTCTGCGAGCTTCCCCAGCAGTCTTATCCGCTCCTCAGACAAGCAGCACTTTGGTTCAATCGCGGGCTTCACTGGCTGAAGCTCTGTGCCCCCACCCTCTGCAAAGAAGGCATATTTTTACTGGAAGAAACTCCAGAGGCTCAAACTGGCTACTGCTACAAAGATGCAGCGCCATGTGTCATGCAATGTCTTTAAAAACCTCCTAACTATACAGTGTAGACGAGTTTGTTCGACAGAAAAATAAAACAATAAAAGTAGGCATATTTTTGTGTACTTTTATTCTAAGTTAGTTTCTTAAAGCAACTAGAACTTAGTCGCGTAACTTATGTGTTTCATAAGTCTTTCAGTACAGCCCATGTGAAATATCTATTGTAGTAGAGCTGAAAGGCAGGCAAGTAGGAACTTATCCATAAATGGGCATCACACTAAGGAAACACACTAGATTCCTGTTTCCTTCTCTTGTGTGTTTCCTTTCGTGTGCTGCCCAGTTATAGAAATATTCATGCAATACAGAAATTGTGTTAGCTGCAAACGTTTAAAGATCTTAAGTGCAGTACAAAAGGCGCATGTGAGCTCCAAGTGATATCGCAAAAGTATACAACCTCGAGCATAAAAAAGCACTAGTAAAAACACTTGTAGCTCACCGAGCACAATTGTCTGGTGCTGTTTTGCGCCGACGCAGATCTCTGCCACCTTTATGTCTCCACTCTTCGTGCAGCGCTCTAATATCACCGTATCTGGATCAGTCTTGCCAGAGACAACAGACTTGAAAAGGACAATAACAAACTTGGTAAAACTTCAGGTTTGCACAAATAATGCAGATATTTATCGTGGTTCTGCAAGGACACTTTTGGAACATTGTAATACTTTAAAACATGTTTCGGTCATTTGGCTAGTTTTATCGTAGTTCGACGATAATTTTCCCTCGCCTCTGTGCTTTAAAAAACTCAAACGAAAAATATGACAGCTGATAGATGCGCACGGTTTAACGTCCCAAAACCATCGAAAGAATAAGAGAGACGCCATAGTAAAGGGCCGCGGAAATTTTGACCACCTGGGGTTGTTCAACGTGTACCCGAATTTGAGCACACGAGCGTACAGCATTTTCGCATCCATCGAAAATGAAAAATGACAGACGAAAACCGAGTTTCTTACGACCTGTATGCTTCCACATCAAAAGCTTATGTGGCTGCTCAAATATTGCCATAAAGACTAATTACGCTATCCGATATTATGAAGAATCAGCGTTCGCAGTCATTTGCGCACTCCTGCTTGTGGCCGCACGACTCATGCCTCTTGTTCACGGGCACAAGTTAGTGTGGGTTCGAGCTGCGAAGGACAAGAAGGCACGTTGGTGGATGAACAGTTCTTGTTTTGAAACGCTCTAGTGGACTCTTCTATTTTTTGCGCATTATTTCCAGGGCACAAGTTCACCCATAATATACTAATTTTGGAGCTTCTTCCCTTGGACCCGTTACAATATCACCTAAAGATTTACGTCTATCATAAAGAGCGATGGCAATTATATTGTCAAATGATAACGCAGAAAATTGGCAACAGGCCAATAATAATAATTTTGTGGGCTTAACGTCCCAAAACACTATATGACTATGAGAGACGCCGCAGCGGAGGGATCTGGTAGTTTCGACCACGTGGCCTTATTTACGCGCCCTTAAATGTAAGTACACATCCTCAAGCATTTTTTCCTTCGTTGGAAATGCACTTTCCGCTACTGGGATTCAATTGCGCGACCTGTAGGTTAGCAGCCGAGGGCCATAACTACTCTACCACCCTGGCGAATCACAGAACTTTATTATTTATTATTATGTGTTAATACTGTGCACCATCGTCGATCGTCATAAAAAAGAGGACAGTATTATTACATATATCGAAAGTGCGCAAGGTCTATCAGTTGTGCTACAATCGGCACGCCGCTATGATATCAGACATTTCCTTTATATACTGTTGCCAACAACACAAAACTTACTGATAATTTTCGAGATATGTGCATTAAACATGAAGTCGCTGACATCACTTGATAAAAAAATGATCTTGAGCCATCTGCCAAATGCGCCTCGAGAATGTTCTTCAAGGTAGGTGATACTTTTTAGTACAACAACAGTGTCGGCATTTTCTTCCACATTTCTATGGCCTCCGGGAAGAAAAAAAATCGAAATGCATCTCCACTACAGCGTCTCTCAAAATCATGTAGGGGCTTTGGGACGGTAAAACCCACATATAAATCAATTAATCTATATGTTGTACATCACACAATGCATTTTGTAGGCTTTTGTTCAATTTTTCTACTTTTTGAATAGCTTTTCGTCTGACGTTATCTATAGTTTTTTTGTATTACTCTTTTTGCACAATTACCACGAGGTACTTCAGCTGACACGCATTCCCTAATGACGTTTTTACCAGTGTTGTAAAAAATAGATAGATAGCTTCCCTCTTGCTGAGGTTTCTATATGTAGGTAAATTTTTGAATAGGTTTGAATATGTAGGTGAAGAGTTGATCTTTATTTTCCTAATGCGACACCAATAATCTCATGTTAACACACATTTCTGAGTTTTAGTTAATTGTCAAGTTAGTCATTGTGGTGTAGAATAGACGGTCGTCTGTGGATAGTTTAACAATAACCCAGCCTTTTTTTCTGCCACTGATATCATTCAAATAGAGAAGAAAAAAAAGTGGTCACAATGTTGGCTCAAATGCATCCTAAATATGAAACCAAAATATCTGATACGTGGTAACCCCGTTTACCTACATGCGTCCAGTTTGTTAAATATGCTTCAGTGTGTTTTATAACAAGTTTATTTATTCCTAAATAATGTAGTTAGATTCATTGGACTTGACGTACTCAAACATTTTCGAAAAATTCACACAAATCATAACACCGTGTTGTTTTGTATCTTCCGCAGCCCCTAAATTTTCAGTTGTTTCTGTTAACTGTGTCACGGTTAATAACGCGGTTCCAAAGCCGCGTTGATAAGGGAAGAGGAAAGCGATATTTTGCAGTAACTGTTAGTAAATGTTTTATAATTCGTGTTGGAACACCTTGCGACTAGCTGAAGTGAGTGACACTCGGTCAGTAATTTGTTGCCGGTTTTGTGTTGCCTCTTTTAGTTACAGCAAATTAGAATACGGTGTGCACCAGTACTTATAGAAATGCGGGCAAGTTGTGTAAGATATTTGAAAGATGACAGTCAGATAGGCTGACAGTTCATCCTGCCTATCACTTCGCAATTGGTTATCATTCGGACCGCTCAATTTTTCATGCGTAATTGAGGTAACTGTTGAAACACCATTTCTCCCGTTCTGTCAAGTGTTTCCAATAATCAGTTGGAACAATTCGTAAGGATTCTCGCACTACTCACTGTAGGGTCTAAGAAGCGAAATAGAGAATGAAAAAAAATTTTAAATGGTTTGCTATCTCACCCTGCCTTCCTTTAGTTGTCACCACCAATAAGAATTTCATAAAGTATTTCATTTTATGCCATAAAATATTGCCAATTTTCCTAAATGAATATTTTAAAGGGACCCTGAAACACCTTTTCAAGTAATGATGAAATTAATTCACTGGAAGGGCTTATTGCCTCACAAATTCAACGCTGCAAAGCTTGAAAAAATCCGTCCTGTTCGAGTGAAGATACAAAGGTTGGTGGCTTGCTGCAATAGCATTCTGTATTCTCTGGTTCCGAAAAGCAAATACAGTGCAAATACGAAAATGAAATGCAGTGCTATGGCTCCACCGCAAGCGTAGACAGCACCTGTCCACCCAAATGCAAAATCTAATCTGTTCACTGCCCGCAGTTCAATTTTAAAATGAGTCGCGGGGGAACAGTCTTCGCCCACCTACCGTCTATCGCGAAATTGATAAGACGTGCGCGTCCTAATTAACGGCAACTACCCCGAGTGACCATGAATAAGGTAAGGAAAAGAGATAGTCCTTATCGCTTCATAATCCGTCAAACGATACACACGTGGCACTACCCCCCTCTGAAAAAATCAGCATCGCCTCGATGCAAGTGGGTAATAAAGCACAGTCGTAGGAAAAAAATAAACAGACAGTACAAAAAGAAATGCAGTAAAGCAATGAATTCACACAAGTGCTTGTGAACACGCACATAAAGTTCATCACAGAAATTTCGCACACAAATGGGTTGTCTACCGTTCGTGGAAAGGCTTTAGTCGTACAACATGAACCACCTCAAGGCGACCTGAGGTAGTTCATGTTGTAGAACTTATGTTCATGTTCATGTTCGTACAACTCAGGTCGTACAACATGAGCTACCTCAGGTCGAAGGGGTTGCATCGCACCTTCAAGGACGATCTCATAGTTCACCTCACTGAGACAATGTAGAAACTTGTATGGACCAAACTAACGTAATAAGAGCTTCTCGCTCCGTCCGCGCCGACGAATAAGCATCCACACCAACACAAGCTCACCAGGAGTGTACTCTTGCTGCCGTCGTCCAAGGTTGCAGTGTTGGGCTTGCTGCCTCTTTAACAGTAGGCGGGCGAGTTGGCGAGCCTCTTCGACACGACACATTATTGTGCTACGCCAGGACTCACGTCACCCTCGTTGACATGAGGCAGCATGGTACCAAGTGTTGCTGTAGGTGTTCGCCCCTACACAAGGTAAATGTACTCATTCCTGGGGTCTTCTGCAACGCCCTGTTGTAGGCAAAAGTTGCGTAGGGTAGCACTTGGTCCCATGACCTGTGCTTAACGTCTACGTACACTGACAGCATGTGACAGCATGTCGTCCGTCATCTTGTTTAGCCGCTCTGTAAGGCCATTAGTCCGTGGATGGTATGTGGTCGTTCTATGGTGAGTAGTTTGGCTCTACTGCATTATCTCTTGCAGAAGGTCGCTGCAGAAGGCTGTTACTCATTCAGTAATGATCACCTCTGGCGCAACAAGACGCAGAACAACAATATTTACGAGAAATTTGGCAGCTTCTTGAGCGTTGGCTCTTGAAAGTGCTTGTGTTTCTGCGTAGCACGTCAAAATCTGTTGCCTCTAACATCCACCTATTTCATGTTTACGACATCGCAAATAGCCCAAGAAAATCCATTCCAATCTGTCGAAATAGTCTTGAAGCGGGTTCGATTGCTTTTAGGAGCCCGGCGGGTTTGCTGGGACGTGTTTTCCGACGTTAGCAATCCCGACACGTTCACATGTAGTTGGGAACGCTTGCTGCTAGTCGAGGCCAGTAGTATTTTGCCCGAATCCGGGACAGGGTCCTCGTGACGCTGAGGTGTCCGGTTACAGGTTCGTCAAAACAAGCTCATAAAGTTTCCGACCGCAAGGAGACTGCGACCATGAGAAGGTACGTTGCACTGGTGGATTCGAAGTTCTTCTTCACCAAGTTTCCATTATGTAAACAGAACGTTGAAGTGGTTGAGGAAAGGACGAGACGACATGCCCATGGCGAAGCCCACCCATCGACATCTTCTTATTCCGAACAGTGATCTAATTCCCCGGTGAGGATAACGTCGTTCCTCGTCTTCTACACAATTTGTAACATCCTCCGCGCCCCCACAGTGGCGCCTGACGACAAAGAAAACTGAACACTCACATGAGTTCCGAGTACAAAATGTTCGTCAGTTAGCAAGAGTTCCACGTCAGTCCTAGTAGTGTTATGCGGGTCTCATCCTGCACCACATTTTCCAGTGGTGTTTTCGGCGCTTGTTCCAAGTTCGTGCTGTTGAGTGCGTTGACATCTATGCACCTCTGTTGTCGCTGAGCAGGTTTCCTT